AAATCCTTAGAGGGGGTCAAAACCTGGGTATGTTGGGACAGTCCGAGAATTCATCTGAGTGGGTGATCATAGTGACAGGATCAGCCCCTTTGTTGGACAAAGTGAATGATCAGGGAATGCACTCTCTCTGATGGAAACCATAACTGCCGACAGTTGATTTCAAACGTTGAAATTTGTTTTGAAAAATATATATATATATATATATATTATGGTTTCAAAATGTTTGCAAAATGTTTTAATTCCCGAGATCCATGTGAGTAGAGAGTGCAGCACTGTACCTTGCAGCCAAGGGAGAGGTCCTCTCTTGTTGGGCAGTGTTTGATCATTATGGGCTGAGAGGTTAAGTGTAAAACCATTGAGGGTATTACCTGATGGGCTAATCTTGCATTTGCCCACAGTTCTTGGGTTTTCATAAGGTGGATGGATCCAAGAATCATTTAGTGTAAATGTTGGGCTCATTAAAAGCGCATAGTGATAGACTCAGGGGTTCATTGTCCCTATAGTGAATTCGGTCAGGCCTAGATCAATGTAAGGGTCCCACGCCATACAAAGAGAGCCAATTGGGTAGCAGGTTAAGGAGTAAGTGAGCACATAAGCTTAATGGGCCTAAAGCCCAATTCGAACAGGGCTTAATTTAGTTAATTAAAAGGGGCAAGATATGATTTATAATCTGATTAGGATTAGCTGAAGGATAAGATAAGTCTTATCCATTCAAGAGTCCAGATCCATATATCAGATTTGGATTACGAGACTCTCTCCTAATTAGATTAGGAGGCTGATCCAAAGAAGACTATAAATAGGGGGCGAATTCCTCAGTTTTAACACACAGCAATCTGCAGAATTCTCTTCTATTCTTGCTATCCCTACCCAATTCGATCTCCACTTGTGGAATTGATCAAGAAAGGTTATTGATATTGTTTCTTGGTTGAAGAAACAATCTGAAGTCGTACTCACCAGCCCCTGTTCGATTCTTGCTGAAGAATCATGGTTCTTGCTAAAGAGCCCTTCTGCTGATCATGCTTCCTCACACACTGTGTCATCTTCAGTGGAAGCAGGTTTTTGGTTTTCTCCTTGGGCGTGAACACCTTCATTGGGAGTTACTGCTACTTCGTATCAAGTATATCCCTCTCCTCCCTTTTGGTTTCAGATCTGGTCCGGTTTTGGATTCAAGAACAAACCTTGAAAATGTAGTTTTCTAAATTAGGGAATGCGATTCCTGGATGAGAGAAAAGAAATTTTTGAAATTTCGCCCAACCTTCCTGTATGGTTCGACCATCCATATGATGGATCTCCCATCCCTTCAAAGCATACTTCTACCAACACAAATAAAAAATAAATAAACTCAAAGGACTATGCACCACGACTGGTCATGACCTATCCCAACAGGGCATTCCATCTTACCTCAAATAAAGTATACAATATGCTTAGAAAGTGAACATTTTAGAGACTTCTCCTACTCGGGCTTATGCATATCTCACAAAAAGTTGTTTTTAATCTAATAAGTGCTTCCTGAAATGTATTTCTCAGTTTTTGCACATCTAATTCCCAAGCCCAGATGCAGTAGGAAGGTTTTTCCATGAAACTGCCAACCCCTTGTGAATGTCAATAACAAAGGTAGGTGGGTCCAATGGGAGGTATTTGAGGAGGGGGGATGCACACAAACAATAATAATAATTTTGAAAAAAAGAACATCTAGAGTTTATACTATATGTGGGGCCCATTAAGGTCTACATGTTAATGTACACTGCCCACACCTCTAATAGTTTTCTAGGTCAGCCTCTGCCTAAGGTTTGTTACAAGCTTGTCATAAGGTGCTCTTGATAGAGTTGAATGGAAAAACAGGATGCATGTAATCGGTCCAAAAGATCTGAAATAAGACTTTGTTGAGTTAAGAAGTACTCCTCTATAGAATAGTGTCTCCATTTCTGAATTAACCTTTGTTGAGTGGCCCGGTTTGTCTTTAGTTTGTTTTTATTTAATTAGGAAGTTGTTGGGCCTTCGGCCCATTAGTTTTTTATTTTTTAAAGTTGTGACTATTCAATTTTAGTAGCCGCCCTACTAAGGGCATCCTTGTAATATCTCATCTTTAAGTTAAATATAAATATAATGAGGGGCTGGCGGCTAGGGTTAACTTTCTCATAA